CTACACGCTTTAGATTGGGACAAGATGGACATGGCACACAATCATGTGCCTGAACCAGTTCGTGCATAGCATTCGCTGTATGCGTTGGATGAGTAACGCGGCAGCAGCTTCAATACAAACGCGCACCATCGCTGTCAGAGCGGCGTTGGGATGGGCAGAGCGAAGACGTCTTCGCAGGTGATATCCGCAGTCAACTGTTAGGTGGGGTTGAACAGATTGAATTCTGGCCTGTCGCAGCCCTTAGTCACGCGCTCCCGTGGTCTCCAGCTCCTCAACCAGCCCTCTGAGGCTCCCCGTGCCTTGGCTCCGTAGGCGTCTTCTGACGTTTGCGCTTTAGGGGTCAGGAATGGCTCTCTTGCAGGCCTGAAATACATTAGGCATGGGTCACCTCACGGTCTGGGAGTCCTCTCCTCCTGCCAAGGGCCTTCAGCCAAGACGGAGGATAACGATCTATAAGCCCTGACAGGCATCATGCTGTCCCTGGCCAGAATGTTCAAATAGCCGGCTCGGGCTTTCTAGGATTTCTAGAGAGGAGGCAGCGGATGGGCAACTAGGCATCTCGTGGATGTGCAAACTCATCATTACGAGCATGACGGCTCCGAAACACCATTCCGGATATGACACTCGTGTCTGAAGAATTAGAGCTGGACATGATAGCCGTGTTTGGCTACAACTCTATGACGCCAATGTACATGATTTGCATTCAAGACCAGCGAAGCCTTGCTATTGACTGAATTCTAATCGAGCATGAACTACGAGACTCAACAAGAGAAACAGCACGCTTCTACCACCTGCAGGTGAAATGAGCAGCAAGCCACCCGTCGCAGACTCTAGAAACAGCAACTTCGGCATGGCACTCTTGAAGTCCGACACTCAGACTGTAACCAGATACTAGTTCTATGAATCGGAGAAGACGGTGTTCGTAACATCTAGACACAACGAGGCATCTGGCAATACATTTCTGAATATGGCAATGCATTCTTGCTCGGAAAGTAAGTCTTTGATATCCCGAGATGCAGATCTAGTAAAAGACCGAATAACATTATTTATGGATGATCTCCGGACGAAACTCCTCAGAATCTACTCCCTTCGAAACGTTGCGATCGGCAACTGAGTACTAGACTGTATTGGCCAGGCAATGACCTTACAAAAGTGCATGCTCTCCTAGTGATTAGTTATTGAACATCACAGAGAAAGCTTTTGATAATAATACAATCTTGACTTGTCGGAAAGGACGTTACGCTACCAACGGAATTTGAAGACCACCCGAGAAAACCGAGAGCGCCACCCTGAAATCAACGATCAACGCCTAGCCCGTTCTATGCCCAAGTCGCCTCCCCTACAGTCGCAAATCATGCAATATGTGCCGCACCATGTGTTCATGCCATAATCATGGCCGCTGCCAACGCCAGAATCACAGCAGACACGCTAGCCTTGACAATGCCAGCAGCGCTTCCGTCACCCTCGCCGTCGCCATCACCACCGGCCTCCGAGTCATTTCCATCGCCATCGTTTCCACTAGACTCTCCCGACTCCTCCTCAATGGTGCCGGCGCGCAGGCAACGTAGACTAGTCAGCGACGAGGTCGACTCGTTCGTCGAGCCGGCCTTGGTGGAGTGCAAGATGACAGCCCAGATCTTGGTCAGGGCATACTCGTACATGGCGCTGGTCTCGTTCGTGCCAGCCTCGGTTGGCCTTGTGGCGAAAGCGTTAAAGGGCTCGCCGTTATCCAGGTTGTTGGATCCGAGACCTACGGAGCAAAGTCAGCACGGCTGCATCGGCCTCGGCAACGACAAACTCACCAAAACGTGTCGTCGATTGCGTGTCCGAAAGCCACCGGCTGCAGACATGTTGCAGTTGCGGACTGCTTTCGTCGTCGCTTGCCGTTGTCTCGATCGCCCGGCGGCACTCGTCGCTCAAGAAGTCGCAGCCGTTAATATTGTCACCGTCATTGGTGGCGTTGGCAGCGAAGCCGGTGAAGATGGCAACGCTGACATCTTTCGTGTTGAGCTTGGCGCCCTTGGTGCGCTCCAGGGAGAGAATTGTCAACTGGGTGACGGGATCCTCGCCGACATCCTCGCCGGCCTGCGTGGCATTGGCGAGGGAGACGTTGGCGGCAAAGGCGAGGTTGACGGACCAGACATCGGAGCCGTTGCTGAAGCCGAGGTTGCTGTAGGAGACTGATGCCGTGTTGTTCGGCTTGGCAAAGACGGCTTCGAAGCGCTCAGTAGGGAGGCCAAATGGGGGTGCAGTGGCAGGAGAACCGCTGGAGGTGTAACCGCCAAGCTCGGGTTCCAGATCTGCCGCCGCTGCGAGGGCGATGAACGGGAGAGCTTTCATGATGAATGACATTTTGCGAAAATTCGATTAGTCGGAGTAGACAAGGGTAAGGTAAATGTGGTTCGAATTCGATGAAGTTCAGCTTCCGTCGAAACGTGCGGGAGAGGCAACCCTTTAAAACAAGCATCGAACGTTCAGCGTAACCATCACAGGCGCGCTCACACTGCGCATGATTGACCAAGTCCGTCAGCCACATTGAAGGATCTGTTGTCGATCTCAGTGTTGTGGTACGAATAGCAAACTGTAAGCTTACGTGAAGTGAAGCTCAACGGGGGATCGTGTACCTTGTCAAACCTGACTGTGCTCAGCCCCGTCCATGGGCATGGGGCCCAGCATAGGGCTGTATCCCCTGTTGGATGACGGTATGTCAGCCATCGAATGCACCAAATGCATCCTCCGTTGCCAAGCCACATCTATTTTTGTTGATTCGTGGGTTATTAGCACGGGTATGGTCATTCTTACTCATGCGATTTTCACGACAGAATCAGATGCAACCGACAGAATTGACGATGGAATCTCAAAGTCGAAATAATCTGCCTAGACATTGTTAGGACAGAGCATACTTGGCGTTGCGGGTTTCTGAAGAAAAAGACCAAGAATGCTGAATGAAGCTGTACCATTTGATGGGATTGTACCCAGGATCTTCGTTCTAGTGATCGGTCAAAGCAAAAGCCACCGAAGCGTGGTTCACTTTCATGCTTGTGCCGCGATTGTTTCCGAGCTCTTCATCCCAATTAAATTGAGATATTTTTGCCCGGTCGCTTATGGTTTCATGGCTGTTCATTCGGAACATGCATCGAGACCGACTGTGGAGTCGGGTATTTAAGGAAAATGTGTACTTGCTTACAAGCCAACTGTATAAAGTGCATGCCCTTTGCGGGACGGATATCAGAGGCATCTAAGGGTCCCATGATCATGGTCCGTCGTATGGGTTTGATCATACAGTTTGATTCTATGCACCACGAAGATATGTAGCAGAGTTCGATAGGCACTACTCCAGACTCATCTTACATCTAAGCCGTACCGGATTGGGTCGGGATCACCTGTGGTTTGGTGTAAGACTGATCTTCACTTGCTTTGATCACTGACTGCGTCCACGAGAAGCAGTGTACCGTTGAGTAATATCTTCGAAGTACCAAGGGTTTCGAAGTGCTCTGATATATCTCTGCCTTTCGGGGTAGTAAAACGAAAGGAGGCTTCGAGACTGTTGATTTTTGATAAAGATGTTTCGGGCCGACGGATCTGCAGTACTCGATTTTGCATACGGTTTGGGTAAAAGAATGGGTGGTAGAAGGTATAAGAAACACGGAAATATAAGTAAAGTCCTGTAAAACGGCGACGTTACTAAGTTGATAATATAAATGGTATGTCCCACCTCAATTTCACGAATCTTACTACGCTCTCGAGGCGCATGTTAGCCCTGGTTGTCGGGGTTTGACGCTGCCAAGAGCTCGTCATGCTAGTAACGGCATTTCCAGGCTTCAGTCTCTGAAGCTGCTCTGTGTATTCTTGCGAGACCAGGTGTCCAACATCGAAATTTAGTATTGAAACTGGAGAAATTGTGTCTGTGGAGAATTCAGCAAATGTACGTAGTCCCTGGCGTCGGGGTGCTAAATAATGAAAATTACAAACTGCTTGCTCAATCACCAAAATGGAGATCGTGCTTTCAGCACAAATCATGTAGAGAAATAGGAACTGCAGCGGCTCGCTGCTTCAGACGTCGATCCTGAAAAGCGACGTCAATCGAACAGTTGGTCGTTAACAGAGTCCGACTGACCGGCCGGTGTAAAAATGCCTAAGCGTCAAAGCTTGTACTTGCGGTATCACGCTGTTCTGAATCCATCCTACTTCGGGCGTGAACTGATGACATACACAGGGTGGTATTCCTTCCAGTGCAGCGTTAGTTTGCTACTTTCGGTCTATCTACTGGTTGTTCACCAGATGCGATCAAGCCCAATGGCGGCACAGGCAGCAAATAGTCACATGATGACCGAGTTTGTTTCGTTGGACTTTGCCAGGTTGGAACGACAGGAACCAGGCAAGACCAGGCAAGCCGGACCCTGAAATGCCCAACACGTCAGACTTGGTGTGCACCAGAGGCCAAACGGGAATACGGTAGGATATGCCATCGGCTGGTCCGAGATGCAGCACGTGACGATGGACCATCGCTGCTTATCAGATATGACGCAGGAACGAGCAAACGGGACCTCGGCTCATTCGGACATGTGCCGAATTGCGTCGTTACGCCGAAAATGTTGAGTTCTTGGTACGCCCACAGGATTGATCCCGTCGGCAGCGCAGCCTTCGGTCTCTTTTGCGAAAACCCTCCGGCGCACCCGACAGCCTGAAATGTCCAATGAACCATGCCAGCGAGCCACACAGAGCACGCGTCGACCTCGTGGTCGGGCGCGCCGCCGGGGTCCGTCATGGTCCGTCCTGGTCCTTTTTTTCTTTACCCCTTTTGCCGTGTCATCGCAAACGCCGTCTCAACAATCGGGGCGCCGGTCCTTGCGCTCTACCGATTTCTCATCATTGAGCAGTCTTGAGTCTGCAGGGCTCCTTTTTTTAAAGTATTTTCAAGGCCCCACAACGAGTCAGGCCTTTTGGTGCTGCTCATAAATAGCAAACGGCCCCATATCGCACCCCGTAGCCTGTCCACGATGAGCGCCCTCGGTAACGAACTGGACTTTTTCCCGCCCTACGATCCACCACCGTCCATCCAACCAGAACAGCAGCAGCAGGATCCCCTCGACCCGGTCACGATGCACAAGACGGCCCCCTTTCCCGGCTTCACGGCTCTGTCGGAGCAGGTCTTTGTCCGCGAGGCGCCCGTCAGCGACGGCCCCCGCCCCGCCGGCCAGCCGCACACCGTCATGCTCTACGGCTGGGGCGACGGCACGGCGCGCAACGTGCAAAAGTACACAGACGGCTACGCGGCGCTGTTCCCGCACGCACGCCAGATCGCCGTGCTCTCGCCCATCGCCAAGGCCATGTTCAACAGCGCCGCAGCCCGCGCCGTCGCCATGACGCCCGTCGTCGACACGCTCGGCGCCCTCGACACTGACGACGACGGCAACGCCGACGCCGACGCCATCCTCGTCGAGGCCATGTCCAACACGGGCGCCGTCAACTTCAGCGCGACCCTCGACGCCTTCGCCGCGCGTCACGGCCGCCCGCTGCCCCACCGCCTGCTCGTCCTCGACTCGACCCCCGGCAGCCCGTGGCTCACGTGGCCGTCGCTGCAGCGCTGGTCGCGCGCCATGACCATCGGCACCGCCGCCTGGTTCCCCTGGCCCTTCGCCGTGACCCAGTGCCTCTGGGGCTCCTTCCTGACCGTCAACGTCCTGGCCGGCTGGTGCGTCGGCCGCGAGGCCGCCGGCGCCTTTGCCCTGCGCGTCACCGACGACGACGCATTTGAGACCAAGGACGCCCGCCGCCTGTACCTCTACAGCAAGGAGGACGACCTCATCACCTCCGACGACGTCGAGATGTACATGGCCGAGTCGAGGCAGAAGGGCTACCAGCTGCGCGCCGAGCTGTTCGACGGCAGCGGCCACGTCGGCCACATGCGCATGCATCCCGAGAAGTACTGGAAGGCCATCGCCGACGCGTGGGCCTGGGCAAACGAGGAGCCGAAACGCGGGTAGAGAGGGAGAGTGGGTGAAGAGGAGGTTTTCCCATTGGGGGCCGTTTCTGTTTGATGTCTTGGTATAAGCGATCTACATGTGCATCAGCATCTTGGGAGTTAGGAGTTGGCATGGGTTCCGTGAGAGCCGTGACATGACGGCCTCACATGCTTGTAGCGTAACGACATGGAGTTCTAATGTATTGCGAGGAGCATGAAGCAGCTCCCTGGAGAAGCGATGCCGCGAGTTGATGGGAGTCTTTCGATGTTCGTGGTCGCATAGAAAAGGCCGAAGCCACCAACGAGCCACACACCTGCCAATCACTTTAGTCAGCGGCTGCCACCTGTCACTCAACTCCATTCTTTCCACCGGCTTCGCTTCACATCACATTGAACACGCATGGAGATGATATTCTCAAGAAGCATAAATCGCGATTCCGCACCAAAATTCAAGTAGCTATCCATTAGCTGTGGCTGCTAACATCGCAGCCTGCATGCCCCAGAGTCCCTTTTCTCATGAGGCTGAATGGAAAGGGCGTCTTTCGCTCATGCCATACCCTCAAACGCCAGAACACGAAAGATGCATCAACGTCTGTGCAAGCCTCACGAATGCCTCCCAAAGTATCAAAACGCTCTTCCCCGCAGCACATCAGTATGCTGCACATCCTGAAGCCCGCCGCCTTCCCCTGGGCCATGCCCCGCGCGCTTTGTCACCCGCACTCCTCACAGTCGCACGGCGTTGTACACCTGCTCGCGGGCGGGAACCCGGTACGTGTCGAAGAACCTAGCTGTGTAGAAGCTCCGGGCACCAATGTGCGCAAGGTAAGCCGAGAACCGCTCGTGCGACCTCCACACCGATTGAGGGCAGTCAGGCATGCTGATGATCCGCTGCACAGTCAGAAAGTCCAGCGGATACTCGGTGATTTCGACCCAGCTGTTCGGGGGGTTGAAAGCCATCTTATCCCTCGTGTCGTTGACCATGTTGGGCCAGCTCCATGCGACTGTGGCCAGGGGGGGCTTGCCGGCGCGGTGGCGGACGAGAATGTCCAGGCGCTGCCAGATAGTCTTGTCGTGCCACTGCGCACATTCATCGACAAGGTGACGGGTAGAGTTGCAGAGAGGGCAGACGTGCGTGAAGCCACTAGGCCCTGGTACGGTGCAGTAGGCGGGATGGTGGCCGAGACCTCCGCAGTTCTGGCACAGCTGCCAGCTTGGGTCTGGTCCGAGGCTTTGATCCGGCAACGGTCCCGTGACGAATGCTCCCTGGGGTGCGTCCCGGCCCATTCGCATGGCGCCATCGGAGCCAGGGACCTTTTCGGAAGGGGCACGAGAGCGAGACCTTCTGGAGTGAGAGCCGTTTGTGTGGAAAGAAGCTTTCGTGCCGGACCGCGCGATGCCTGCCGAAGACGGTCGGCAGAAGAGACCGCTGCCATCCCAGTGCTCAATAACAGGGCGGTTCCCGGATCGCTTCGAGAGGTCGCCGATGGCGCTGATGATCGACAGCTCCCCTCCAGGGCCTCTCTCTTCGAGGGCGGCAGCCATCCTCTCAGCCCAAGCCATGAGGGACTCGCGATTATGGATGATGGCCACCTTGGTCGCACCGTTCAAGGTCTGACCGATGGTGTTATGGCGGCGACCGCCATCGTGGGTCGTCGGGACGATGCGGAAAGCACGCGCAGAGCGGTCGGGGTCGCGCTGCTCGAGGTCGACACGGAAGAGAGAACCCATATCGCTGAGCAGGGGAAGTGACCGCTGGTTCGAACCCCGCCACTGGCTGGCCTCCTGGTGCTGGGAATCGCGGTCGCGGTACCTGGTCTGGCTTGTGTGTCGAGGCGGCGATCGACTCCTGGTCCGAAATGGCAGGCCCCGGTGTGAGTAGTCGCTCCGCGAGGGTTCGTGACTAGCCTCAGCATCACCGAGAGACTTGAGTTCGCCTCCGCCCATGATGACTTTTGGTCCTCTAGTAGTGATGTGTATGCCGCTTTGCTAGACCAAGGTCGACGCCGGGAAGGTGTTGCGTTAGGCAGGGCGTTGCTGTTTGTGATCACACGTAGAGATGGCTGAGGGAAGAACTTGCAGAAAGGGAATGTTTCTTCAGCGAGTTCTCTGAAGGTTGAATATGCCGCGTTTTGGGAAGGAGGTCGGTCACTGAGGCAGGTGCGATCACCCATGTACTGTGTGACGTTCCGATACTGATCTCACACTGTGGATGCTATCGCCATTCCAGTAAGTGAATGGATGACTGGTCGGGCTTTCAAGCGCGCAGAGCGTCCCAGTCACTGATGGCGATTCATTCACATAGCTGTATTGCAGTGACGGTGTTGTCTAACGCGTGGGCTTTTGATGCGGCAGCACAGCAAGTCATTGATGCATAGAACCGACCAGGGCCTCGCTCCTGGCACAGGTCAGATGTTGTAAACCCGTGAACATGGCGAAGTTACGTAGCTGCCTCTGTCGCCGGCTACTTCAAATGCCTCTGCGACCGTGTTTCGCACCATGTTCAATGACTATCTGCCCAGGCCTGTCGCCGCCCATGTTGATTTGTGGGTGCTCAGCCAAGATCTTGGTCAGAGATGTCAGCTTGGCCTGCTTGTTGCATTTATCATAAGAGGCATCGAACCCAATCTCCCACAACCTGCCTGATCTGGCCGCTGCCCAGATAGCTTCAGACTAACCTGTGTGCATGGACTGGTTCTCGTCAGCTTGCACACTCTTTTACTGAGGGGAAGATGCATTGGTTTCTATTACTCCAACAGAGCAAGGCCGAGGCAACCAAGAATACGACAGAGGGAGACGGACGTGAAAATGGTGCGGGGAGACGAACGAAACAGGTCGGGCGAGGCTTAAATGGTACAATGCTGTTGCCTAGAAGTCTAAAGCGAGGCCTTGCAAACTGCAAACATCCGTTCGGACCCTTGATCTTGCCCTCGTGTTTGCTAGGGCAGCGAAGAACCCGTTTCCCAGTTCGTGACAACGTCCTAGCTTGCTGGGGGGGTGAGCATTGGCGCGGAATATAGCGTGGCCCTAAAAACTGATTGTTGTATCCCGACTGCCGTAAGGGACGGCTGGCCTCATGCTATTTCGAGAGCTTGGTACACAAGCTTTTGAGGTCGACACATGGAGGGGGCCGAACTCATACCACCGGCTTCGGCATCCCTAACCTGAGGAGGTGCAGCGAGGGTGCATGATAATGGAAAGCTAGAGTTACCAGACTCCCGTACCCACGAGAGATTGTCAGGGAGGACGGGAGAGGACGACATTGGGCATGGTTGTCGCTCAAACCAGCTCCGGTCACCGACGAACCCCCCCCCCCCCCCCCCCTTTTCCTTTTTTTGAAAAAAAAAAAAAAAAAACCAAAACCCCAAAGTTTTTTTGGGGCCCCCCAATTTCGCCCCCGGGGAAAACCCCTTAACTAGTTGGCCCCCCCCCACCGTTTGGGTGAAAAAAGGGGCGGCCAATGGGAAAAGAAATTTAACCCTGGGGAAAAAACAAGGTTATATTGTTGGGATTCGATATTCTTTGTGCCCCGATTTGAAAGAGGGAAAACATAAAAAAAGGGTGTCATGAAGGCGTCGCGGGTCCCCTGCCCCCTTTTTTTTGAGAAGAAGA